ACTGCCTGTCTGGTGTGCACGGAGAAGCGAAGGCCAGAGGGATCTTGCAGGAAGGCGAGGGCGGGCATGGGGTAGAAGTTGCCCTGAATGGGGATGCGAGACAGGGTCTCCCTTTTGACCATCTGGAAGCCGTTCAGATCGGTGAAGAAAACGTTGCCTGACCTGGAAATGTGGGGAGCAGATGAGAAAGTGTGAGGCACATAGGAGGGGAGGGATGTCAACGCGGGAGCTAGAAGTTTGCCCTGAGTAGTCTAATTTTGAAGCCGGAGGAATGTCAACGCCGGAGCTAGACTCCTCACGCATGAGAAAGAGTGAGGCACATAGGAGGGGAGGGATGTCAACACGGGAGCTAGAAGTTTGCCCTGAGTAGTCTATTTTTTAAGCCGGAGGAATGTCAACGCCGGAGCTAGACTCCTCACGCATGAGAAAGAGTGAGGCACATAGGAGGGGAGGGATGTCAACACGGGAGCTAGAAGTTTGCCCTGAGTAGTCTATTTTTTAGGCGCCTCAAGAATAGGCTCCTCACGCATGAGAAAGAGTGAGGCACATAGGAGGGGAGGAATGTCAACGCCGGAGCTAGAAGTCCTTGATTTTGCAGGGTGCTTTTGAGAATTCTCAAAAACGCCCTGACTAGGAGCGCGAGACAGGATCTCCCTTTTACCCGTCTGAGTGCCGTTGATGTCAGTGAAAAAAACGTTGCAAGACTTGGGGAAATGGGAGACACAATGGAGGGAGGGGAGGGATGTCAATGCGAGAGCAGGCTGTGAGAAGAGAAGCTGATGATGTTATTGAAGAACTGAGGGTATACATAGGTGTGAGGGTAAGAAGGGGGGGGTTGGATGGGACCTTGGCCAAGATTATTGGTCCCCACCAATAATTGAGTTGGGAATTATTGGGGGGTCCAATAATCCCAACCAAGATTATTGGAGGGTCCAATAATCTTGGTAGGATTATTGGGGACTCCAATAATTGGGAGGTCAAGCCCATTGGGGGGGCCAATAATGGCCAAGGTTGGAACCCAAACAAGGTGGGAAGCCAACCCCCAACCTAGGGTTGTTGCTTACAATGACCTAAGCCTTGTATGTAAACGATGTAGGCTAATACAGAATAGGGGAATATTCTAACACAGGCATGGGGTAAAAGGTGTCCTGGAGGGGAATGCCGCACGCGAGAGAGCTTTTCCTGTCGGACGGTGTGGAAGCTGTTTAGTTTGGTGAAGCAAGCATTGCTCGAACTGAGAAAGCGTGGACAAACGAGGGAGGGTCGGTGGAGAAGACAGAGAAGGCACCGTCCTACCTGACTCCGGTTCGGTACCGGACCAAGAGCTCCTTGTTCCCGAGCCACATGCGGTTGGTAAGGTCCACCGCTGTACACCAGCAAAGCCTGCGCCGAGTGAACCTTATACAGCGCCACCGTGCGCACCACCGGCTCTGGCGGGAAGGGCCTTACCCTATACAGTGTGGCTCTGGGCAGCGTGACCTATGCAGTGTGTTTTACAATCCTTGACAAAGACAAAGCCGTACCTGATTCCGGTTCGGTACCGGACCACGAGCTGCTTGTTGCCGAGCCACACACAGTCTGCGAGGTCCACCCGGTGCTGCACCTCCACTCCACCAGCTGCGTCTGGGGGCGGAGTGCACCTTATACAGCGCCACTGTGCGCACCACCAGCTCTGGCGGGTGGGGCGTTGCCCTAAACACTGTGGCTCTATGCAGTGTGGCTCTATGCAGTGTGGCTCGGTGACCCTGCGCAATCTAGCCCTGTACTATGAGCCAGCACAGTATGATCTGCAACCCTATGCCGTACCTGATTCCGGTCTGGTACCGAACCACAAGCTCCTTGTTGCCGAGCCACACACTGTCTGTGAGGTCCACTCGGTGCTGCACCTCCACCAGCAAAGCCTGGGCGGAGCGCACCTTATACAGTGCCACTGTGCGCACCACCGGCTCTGGCGGGCCGTTGCCCTCCTGCTGCTGCTGCTGCTGCTGCTGCTGCTCCTGCTGCTGCTGGGGCTGCAGCTGCTGCTGGACTGAGGACTCTGGCTGGTAGTCTCCACCCTCCCCTGTCTCTTCCCTTCTCCTGCTGCTGCTTTCTTGATCCGAGCTGCCCTCCCCTTCGCCTGCAAGACCCGCAGTACCAGTAGAACCATCTGGAGCACCAGCAGCAGCAGTAGACAAGGCACCACCCCCTCTCCTCTGCCTCTCCCGGGCTTCAATCCACTCCCTCGTCTCCCTCGCCACACTCTCAGTCCACTTCGTCCCCTCCTCTCTCTCCCTCTCCCCCTCCTCCTGCCCTTGCCCATCCCCCCCAAACATCTCATCGAAGCCCTCCTCCGATGCAGCATCAGCACGCGAGAGAAGGGAGTAGGTGAAGTCATCGTCCATCCAAGAAGGTCTCTCCTCCCCTTGTGTCCTCTTCCTCCACTCCTCCTTCACCCATTTCCACCACCCCTCACGCCTCTCCTCCTCCTCCCGCTTCGCATTCTGCACTGCGGCTGCAAAGCCTGCCACCGCTGCCTCTGCTGCTGCGACAATCGCGGCAGGAAACCGCCGGAATTTATCAGTTGGGGCTGCAGCAACGGGGGTTGTGGCTACTGGGCCGGCAACAACCGGTGCTGCAACGCCCGGGGATGCAACATCCGGGGATGCAACGCCCGGGGATGCAAGGTCCAAGGCTGCAACACTACCATCCCTAGCATCTGAATCCCCCAATGATGCAACAACGGAGGCTGCAACACCCAGGGCAGCAACACCCGGGGCAGCAACACCCGGGGCAGCAACACCCGGGGCAGCAACACCCGGGGCAGCAACACCCGGGGCAGCAACACCCGGGACTGCAACATCCGAGGCAGCAACATCACCATCCCTAGCATCTGAACCCCCCGAGAATACACCTTCCTTTTCCTGTGCAGCTGTCTCCGCCCCCTCAGTCCCCTCCTGCTTCTCCGGCTGTGTCTTCTGGGTCGACTCAAAAGTCTCCTCTTTCTCTGGCTGTGTCTGCTCCAACCACTTGCCAAACACCCGCTGCTGCTCGCCAGTCAACCACACCAAACCCCCCGGTGCTTCCTTCCCCTCAAAATGCCGCGGATGCAGTACGTCCAACTCCTCCTCACTCACTTCCTCACTCGCTCCCCCACTTGCCCCCTCACTCACTCCTCTTCCTCTCTCATTTGCTTCCTCACTCGCCCTCTCACTTTCTCCCCCATTCAATGACTCACTCACACTCGCACCACCACCTTCTAAGATGATCTCATCCTCGCTATTGTGTGCCTCACTATCAGTAACCAGCAGCTTCCGTGCTGCAGCAGAAGCAGATTCCCAGTCCACCAGCCAACCACCACTAATCTCACTCCCCTCCTCTCCCTCCCCCTCCCCTTCCCCCCAGGGGTCAACACCACCAGCTTGCATCTCAGCCGTCCAATTCGTCGGATGGGTGAATCTGAACCGTGTATGCACCTCCTCCAGGAGCGGTCCTCTGCACACTAACGAAGTAGACCCTCCATCCTCCCCCTTAACCCTCCCATGCCCACTCCCCACATTCTCCACCTTATCTTTCCCAGACCCACTTCCCCCATTCTCCCCCGTATCTCCCCCCTTCTCCCCCGTATCTCCCCCCTTCTCTCCCGTATCTCCCCCCTTCTCCCCCGTATCTCTCCTGTAACCACTCCCCTCCTTCTCCCCATTACTCCCTTTCTTCACTCTCCCCCCTCTCTGCTGTTCCTTCACTATAGGAACGGCTGCGCCATGTGGCCGGAAGAGGTAGGCCCCCCCTGAGCTGGCATAGAGAGCAAACTGCTCTCTCACAGGCAGTGGGGCCGGCATTGCAGGGAGCTGGGGGGAGGAAGCGAGGGTCAAAACGGGGAAAGTGGCCATAAGGGGGGAGTGTTTAAGGTAAGTTATGTGGCCGGAAGAGGTAGGCTCCCCCTGAGCTGGCGTAGAGAGCAAAATGCTCTCTCACAGGCAGTGGGATAGGCTTGTGGTGGAGCTGGGGGGAGGAAGGAAAGGGGGTTAGAGGAGGGAATGCGTAGATGGGGGAAGGGGGAGGGGGAGGGGGAGGGGGAGGAGGGGGGGAAGGCACGTGGCGGAATGAGATTAGTCGCCCCTGCGATAGAGCGCACGGCGCCTGCACAAATATTTTTGAGGCGCCTCAAGTTTAGTCGGCCCTGCGATAGAGCGCACGGCGCCTGCACAGATATTTGCACAGCAAAGCCATGACCGAATCACCAGTGCTATTTTTGCACTGGTGATATTTGCACAGCAAATCCATGAGTCGACTCAAAAATCACCTACAGATATTTGCACAGCAAAGCCATGACCGAATCACCAGTGCTCCAATGAGACCCGCACATGCAGGGCGACCCATGCAATGCAAGCACGGCGACCCATGCAAGGCAAGCAGGGCGACCCATGCAAGCAGGGCGACACATGCAAGCAGGGCGACACATGCAAGCAGGGCGACACATGCAAGCATGGCAGTGCCGCACCGTGATGCCTTTGATGAGCCCATCCATTCGCCCAAGCTCCACTTCGCAATTGCCGTTGGATATAGAGAACTTATCCTTGCTAACATCCGCAGCACCACCAGCACCAGCAGCACTACCAGCACCACCAGCACCAGCAGCACCACCAGCGGCATCACTAGCACCATCAACAGCACCAGCAGCAGCAGCGGGACCAGCCTCATTCTCCTCTCCTCCACCACTCCCCTCCCCCCCTCCCCCCACCATCTCACACGCATACGGAACCGGGCACACAAACCCCGGAGAGGGGTTGAAAACAGATATGGACGACAGGGCAGGAGCAGGGCAGGCCAGCACAGCAGCGCGGGAGACTATAAAATAGGTGGAAAGGCCCAAGGGTGGGACGGAAGCTTCCCAGAAAAGACGGTGCCGGCCGGAAGAAGGGGTGACAGTCATGTTGGCCTTTGACCATTCGGGCAGCAGCTGCCCGGGGAAACATTTCCCTCCCTGCCCGACGATTGCTATGGACGGGGATTTGACGAGGACTGATATGATCTGTGGGTAGGGGGAGAGGGGAAAAGAGAGGGGAGAAGAGAGGGGAGAAGAGAGGGGAGAAGAGAGGGGAGAAGAGAGGGGAGAAGAGAGGGGAGAAGAGAGGGGAGAAGAGAGGGGAGAAGAGAGGGGAGAAGAGAGGGGAGAAGAGAGGGGAGAAGAGAGGGGAGAAGAGAGGGGAGAAGAGAGGGGAGAAGAGAGGGGAGAAGAGAGGGGAGAAGAGAGGGGAGAAGAGAGGGGAGAAGAGAGGGGAGAAGAGAGGGGAGAAGAGAGGGGAGAAGAGAGGGGAGAAGAGAGGGGAGAAGAGAGGGGAGAAGAGAGGGGAGAAGAGAGGGGGAACAGAAGCGAGGGAAGCGGAAAGACAAGACCAGAGAGGATGGATTGATATGATCTGGAGGCAGGGAAAGAGAGAGAGGGAGAGGGAGAGGGAGAGGGAGAGGGAGAGGGAGAGGGAGAGGGAGAGGGAGAGGGAGAGGGAGAGCGAGAGGGAGACGAGATCAATGGGAGAAGAGCCTCCCCCTCAGCATAAAGACGAGATCAATGGGAGAAGAGCCTCCCCCTCAGCACAAAGATGAGATCAATGGGAGAGGAGCCTCCCCCTCAGCACAAAGACGAGATCAATGGGAGAGGAGCCCCCCCCTCAGCACAAAGACGAGATCAATGGGAGAGGAGCCCCCCCCTCAGCACAAAGACGAGATCAATGGGAGAGGAGCCCCCCCCTCAGCACAAAGACGAGATCAATGGGAGAGGAGCCTCCCCCTCAGCACAAAGACGATACATGGAGTGGATTCCAAAAAATCCTCCCCTCCGCAGCGCCATTCAACTCTCCACAATGGCTTATTGCTAAACTTTATTTACTTTGCACTCACCCCATCTTTTTTGCTACTCTCCTTGGCGCTCATCCCCCCCTAACCACTGACATCCTCGACTTGGTGTGCAAGTAGTTTACATTTGAGACGTCTCAAAGCTAGACTACTTCCACTCGGCCCCTCGTCTTTACTACTCTCCTCAGCGTCCACCCCCCCAACCACTGACATCCTCGAATTCGCCCTCCTTACTTCCTCATCACCACCCATCGATCCCATGGCCCATCATGCCCCCACATGGCCCATCATGCCCCCACATGGCCCATTCTGCCCCCACCATCACCACTACAGCCACTCACTCACCTCCTTTCTCTCACCCAGTGGATGGAACACCACCACTCTCCATGCATCCATCCACCTTCTTTTCCCCCGACCCCAACCATCCCACTCCCCACCACAAGTCGCTCCCATGGCTCATCAAAGCACCAACTGCAACTGCGCGACCAACCACGCACCTCCCTTCTCTCCTCCTCCAAAGGATCATACACCACCACTCTCCTCGCATCCAGCTGCCCAACTCTTCGCCCCACCCCACTCCGCACCACAAGCCTCTCCCATGGGACGTCATGCACCAACCACCAACAGCACAACCACTCACCTCCCTTCTCTCTTCCTCCAACGGATTGTACACCACCACTCTCCTGGTGTCCCGCTGCCCCTCTCTTCCCCCAACTCTCCCCCCCACCCCACTCCCCACGACAAGCCGTTCCCATGGGCCGTCATGCGCCCTTCTTCGCCGCTCAGCTCGGAAAGGGGAGCGCTGCTGGGGAAGGACGGTGGAGTTGAGAGCGGTGGAGGTTGGTGCAGAAGGGTTGGAGGCACCGAGCAGAAGGGCAGCGACCGCAGCACACATGAAGTCCTGCAGTGGGTAGAAAGAGAAAGGAGGTGAGCTGTGAGACGTCTTACAACTAGGCATCTGAAATCCAGGTGTCTCAAAACGAGGCGTCTCACAGCGAGACGTCTCAAAACGAGGCGTCTCACAGCGAGACGTCTCAAAACTAGGCGTCTCACAGCTAGACGTCTCGAAACTAGGCGTCTCACAGCAAGACGCCTCAAAACGAGGCGTCTCACAGCTAGACGTCTCAGAACTAAGCATCTCACAGCGAGAAGGACAGCGACCGCGGCACACATGAAGTCCTGCGAGACGCACACCTCGTCTCAAAGTGCAACGGGCCGGCAGGAGGACGAGAGACGAGGGAAGGGAGGTGAGCGAGGAGGAGGAGGACGCGTAAGAGAAAGGCACCTTTGACTGCTGCTGACTGCTGCTGACTACTGCTGCTGACTGAATTGACCTGCGTTGACTCACATTGAGTTCTGTCAGTGCCTCGTGCATCCTCATGCTATAGTCCTTCACCGTGCCTGTGATGGCACATTTACACCTTTTGACCTGCATTGACTTGCATTGACTGCTGTTGACTTTGTTGACCCACTCACATTGAGGTCTGTCAGTGCCTCGTGCATCCTCACGCTATAGTCCTTCACCACATGCTCCTTCGCCGTCCCTGTGATGCCGTCATGGTGCTGAAACAGCGCCAGGTTGCGCCGCGCTAGCACCAACCGCGCCGCAAAGCTGGAAGACGGGGGGGGGGCAGAGGAGTGGGTGGGGGGGTCTATTCCTGCTCAGAAGTCCCTGTGATGCGGTCGTGGTGTTTGAACAGAGCCGGGTTGCGCCGCGCTAGCACCAACCGCTCAGCAAAGCTGGAAGGAGGGGGGAGCGAAAAGGGGCAGGGTGCTGAGGGGTTCGTGAGGTGGTCCTTCACTGTACCTGTGATGGCGTCCTCGTGCTGGGGAAGCAGAGGGTGGGGGGGGGGTGGTGGAGGAGGGGAGGAAAGGGTACTGGGGGGGTTGTGGGGCAAACAGAGCCAGATTGCACCGTGACGATTGTGCCAGATTGCCAGATTATACATGAGGCGCTTTGCCTTGAGGAATGACAGCCCTACGGTTCCACGGAATGGAAAGCCTCCGAGTGAACCAGGCGAGTTTGAGAGTCCTCCTTGCCTTGAATACTTGGCCCATCCATCATCGCGAAGTGTGCATACGATGGCAGCCATTGCCTCCAGAGTTAGGGTTCAGCATGCGATCCACTGCCTTGCAGAAGCCAAAGGCGAAGGGCATTCTCTCACTTGAGGGGGAAGGGCAGTTTGTTACTCCCAGCTGTTGAGCGTTGCGCAATCAATCCCTCCTCCTTCTGTCACCAGCTCTCCCCATCCGCCCAGCACAGAGCATAGAGGATATCCGCGGCCCTGAGGTTGGCCTCCAGCACGCGATCCACAGCCTTCCAGAACGGCCGCAAGGTGAAGTGAAGTACCCACTCCAGTAGTCGTGGTCCCAGTCCGCGTATGTGGAAGAACACCTACCCAAAGGTTGAGTCCTAGCCTACAACTCACTTGAGGGGGAAGGGCAGTCGGCCGAGCTCGATGCTGCTGCCCCCAACCATCGTCCCTTGGAAGGTCGCTGAATCCTCCCTTGGCTGAGAGCTTTCCCAGTCGGACCAGCAGAGCGCGTAGAGGATGTCAGCCGCCCTGAGGTTGGCCTCGAGCGCGCGATCCACAGCCTTCCAGAACGGCCGCGAGGTGAAGTACCCGCTCCAGTAGTCCTGGTCCCGATCCGCGTACGTGAAGAAGTCCCCCGATAACGACGGGAGCAGCGGGCGCGCATTTGAAAGAAGGCTATCTGGAATGGGCCTATTTGAATCAAGACTGTTTGAAAAGAGCCTGAGGGGATAAAGTTTTTTTGGAAGAAGCCCGAGCTGCTTTGCTCTCCGCGTTGCCCTCTGTCTGGAGGAGGCGGTGCGCATGGCAGTGAAATAGTCCTCGAGGGTGCCGAAGCTGGCGTTGACTTTAAGAGACTTTCTTGAATTGATGAAGCGGAAGAGCAGCTCGTAGTTGTGGAACTGGGCGTGGGCCTCGAGCATGGACGAGTAGCGGAAGTCGTCCCCCAGAGGAACCAGGAGCACGTTGGTTCTGAATAGCAGAGACTTCTTGCGCCACTGCACATGGTTAGGTTTTGGGAGTTTTGGGAGTCCAGGGGAAAGGGCAAACAGCAGACGAAGGGGAACAGCAGGAGGGGATGGCAGGGTGTGTGTGGGCCTCGAGCATGGAGGAGTAGCGGAAGTCGTCCCTTAAGGGAACCAGGAGCACATTGGTGCGGAATAGCAGAGACTTCTTGCGCCACTGGTTGGGGGTAGGGGCAGGGGAACAGCGCGAGTCAGACAGAGTGTGGGCCTCGAGCATGGAGGAGAAGCGGAAGTCGTCGCCCAGAGGGATCAGCAGCACGTTGGTGCGGAAGAGGAGCGGCTTCTTGCGCCACTGGAAAGGTTTCGGGGGGGGAGGGGAGCGGAAAAGGGTAACCAGGAGGAGGAGGAGGAGGAGGAGAACTGGTGATTTTTGAGTCGACTCAAAAAAAGATTTTTCAATCGACTCAAAAATCACCAAGTTTCGGGGGGGGGAGGGGAGCAGAAAAGGGTAACCAGGAGGAGAAGAACTGGCTGTAGATAAAACTTTTTGCGATGATTCAAATTGGAATGGATTGCTGACGTCGAACTACCGAGTACCGAATATCAGAAGCTTTCATCGTACCATGTACTCAAAAGTCACCTCAGCATTTCCAATAGACATGACATCATGCCAAAAATGACATCATGCCAATGATGAAGCTCCAGCACCTCGAGTTATTGTCACACCCTTTATGACCACGCCCATGCCCATGATGACATAACACCTCGAGTTATTTTAACACCCTTTATGACCACGCCCATGCCCATGATGACATAACACCTCGAGTTATTTTAACACCCTTTATGACCACGCCCATGCCCATGATGACATAACACCTCGAGTTATTTTAACACCCTTTATGACCACGCCCATGCCCATGATGACATAACACCTCGAGCTATTTTAACACCCTTTATGAACTGGCCCATGCCCATGATGACATAACACCTCGAGCTATTTTAACACCCTTTATGAACCGGCCCATGCCCATGATGACATAACACCTCAAGTTATTTTAACACCCTTTATGACCACGCCCATGCCCATGATGACAGAACACCTCGAGTTATTTTAACACCCTTTATGACCACGCCCATGCCCATGATGACATAACACCTCGAGTTATTTTAACACCCTTTATGACCACGCCCATGCCCATGATGACATAACACCTCGAGTTATTTTAACACCCTTCATGACCACGCCCATGCCCATGATGACATAACACCTCGAGTTATTTTAACCTTCTTTATCATCTAGACTCCGTCCATATCTGAACAGTATGGCGATAAAATTATGCCGATAAAATTAGGCGCCTCAAAGTATGGCATAGATTTTTCCCCCAAAGGACTGAGTGAACGCTGGCTTGAAAAAGCTGAGTGGTTTGCGCCACTGTTAAGGTTTTGCTACTTGTCTGGGGAAATTGAAGCGAGGTGATGGGGATATGTGAAAGATTCAGATGGTTTTTGAGTTTAAAACAAAAAAAACGCCGATTGAAGCGATGTGATAGGGACATGCGAAAGTTTTGAGACCTCTCAAAACTGAATTGAAGCAAGGTGATAGAGATATGCGAAAGATTCACAAGGACCAAACAAAGCACAATCCTCTTAGCTCTTAGAGCTCTAAGAGAACCACCCTAATAGCTCAAACCAAGCTGTAACTCATGGCTCTCTTGGAGGAGCAGCATGCCGAAACTCATCTTGAGGTTGAGGCTGTCAGGGTGCCTCAGAACCCTGACTTGAACCC